GTGGGGTTTGGGGGTGGGTGTGGGTAGGGGGGAAGAACACCGTGAGGCTGTAAATGCGGTCCCTTTCTTGTCTTCCCGCAGCCCTCAGTCAGTCTTCAGTAGTCCACTGCCAACCGTGCCGATGCCAACGTGCTCCCCAGCGCTGAGCAACTTGCCGATGCCCACAGCCACCCCGATGTGTCAAGATGGTGGAGAGGACGACGACTACGACTCCTAGCTTTTTGAGTTTCGCTCCTGGCTGGTGGTAGAGCGGGGAGGAGGATAAAAATGGGGGTTTTATTCAGTTTGTGTGCGCGTGTGTTTGTATATGTGCGTGTGTGTGTGTGTGTGTGTGCGCGTGTGCTGTTTTCTTTTCAAGATTTATTTTTTCATATCTAGGGCAGAGTATTGTGGGGGGAGGGAGGGGGCTGGTTTGCTTTGGGGACGGTCATCCAGGAGTCTTGTTTCCCCTTCTCTCGCATCGTTTTATTTACTGCACCCGCGTTGCAGTTCTTAAACCATTTTATCCCCTCGCTTTGTCTCTCGTGTGCATGGAAAATCTGCCCCCCCCCCCCCCCAAAAAAAATGTCCAACACAGCCCTCCGCGATCCCTCCCTCCAAATACAAAGAAGTTGGCAGGATCAGGCGAGCAAGAGAGAGAAAGAGAGAGAAGGTGGAAAGAGCTGGATGAGATTTTTGGCATTATTTTTAATTTTTAATTTTAGTAAAATGCGAAATAAAATTGGGGAGAGAAAGAGACTTTTCTTTTCTTAAAAAAAAGGGACGTTCCATCCTCTAGTTTGACCAGAATTTTCGGGTTTCTCATCAGCAGCTGTAACCTTGCCTGTGCCGAGTAGAAGAATTGTGATGTATTGTTGAAATCTGTGCAAATACTAATCTGCAGTTGTTCCATCTGCTCCCTTTTTGTTTTCTGTTGTTGCTCCCCACCACTGTTGCTGTTAATGAGACGCGTTGGTATCGTGAAACGGAGGTGGGGTGCGCGGGCGCGTGCTCACGTGGTGGTGGCGGAAATTGTCCATCTTGCTCTGAATAAAGGCATTTTTAGGGGACGTTGAGGTCTCTCTGGTTTCCTGGCCATTCCTGCATCGGGTTCTGCTTGAGTATTACTGGGCAAAGGCGCCTTTTGCTTGATTTTGCACTTGCTTGGTGAGTGGATTTTGATTGCCATGGTGGACGCACCAGATGAATGATGACTGACAGTTAACTGCCGAGCTTTAAGACCAAAAGGCGCAGGAGCGGAAGTAGACCATTCAGCCCATCGCGCCTGCTCCGTCATTGAAAGAGATCACGGTGGGTCTGATAATTTTCAAGCCCACTTTCCTGTCTTTTCCTGTTACACTTGATTTCCATACTGATTAGAAAGGTCTATCTCAAACTTTCAATATTAATGTCCCAGCCTTGACAGCTCTCTGCAGTAAAGAATTCCACGGATTTGCTATCCTCTGAGAAGAAATTCCTGCTCATCTGTTGCTATTGTATATATGGAGTCATACAGCACGGAAACAGACCCTTCAGTAAAACTTGTCCATGCTGACCAGATATCCTAAAATAATTAGTCCCATTTGCCAGCATATCCCTCTAAACCCTTCCTATTCGTATACCCATCCAGATGCCTTTTAAATGTTGTCATTGTACCAGCTTCCCCCACTTCCTCTGGCAGCTCATATCATACACGCACCACCCTCTGCGTGAAAATGTTGCCCCCCCTCCTTACATCCCCTTAATATCTTTCCACTCTCACCTCAAACCTATGCCCCTCTAGCTTTGGACTTCCCTACCCTGGGGAAAAGACCTTGTCTATTCACCCTATCCCTGCCCCTCATGATTTTATAAAATTCTATAAGGTCACTCCTCAGCCACCGACGCTCCAGGGAAAATAGCCCCAGCCTATTCAGCTTCTTCCTATAGATCGAGCCCTCTGACCCTGGCAACATCCTTGTAAATCTTCTCTGCACCCTTTTAAGTTTCACAATCCTATAACAGGGAGACCAGAATTGAATGTAATATTCCAAAAGTGGCCTAACCAATGTCCTGTACAGCCACAACAATGACCTCCCAACTTGTATACTCAATACACTGACCAATAAACGCTGCCTTCACTACTCTGTTTACCTGCAACTCCGCTTTCAAGGAACTATGAACCTATATTCCAAGGTCTCCTTGTTCAGCAACCGCCCCCCCCCCCCCCCCGGACCTCACCATTAAGCATACAAGTCCTACCCTCCCAAGATGTAGCCTGCATCATGTGTGAGTTCCTGATTTACGTCGGCCGTGGGAAATGGTTTTGCTACAGCTGAGTAAGATAGGATGATTCCGATTTAGAGCACTTATCCACTCCATGCACAACATGGATCCCATGGCTACGATTAAACGAGACAGGGAGTTCACCCCGTAGTATCACACAGCAAGAAAGAAGGAAACTGTTATGGAGACAGACCTTTGGCAGCAACCAGTCCGTGCCAACCATAATCCCAAACTAAACAAGTCCACCTGCCTGCTCCCGGCCCATATCCCTGCCAACCCTTCCTCTTCACCTGTGGAACATCCTACAGTTGAGCAAAAAGAAAAAGAGGCTTTAGAGAAATGAGCTGTTTTGGCCCGATGCGACTGTGGCGTGTGCTTGCACAAGAGAGATGCTCGGAACGTGTCCGTTCTGGCGGTGGGTGCTCCTCACAACGATGGCAGCAGTATTCTGAGGGGTGGAAGTGTTGATTTGAAGCGCAGCCTGAAGATGGCGGCAGGGAACAACCTCGGACCCAGGACTGGTGCTTGGCATCACCCTCTGAGTGCTCCTCCTCCTGGGCCTTGCTGGCTAGCGCCATTCCCTTGCAGCTTCAAGTCAGTGGATGTCAACTCCGGGAAGCGGTCCAGTTTGTGGTCAGTGAGTTTACCTGATGGAACAGCGCTGTCTATTTGACCAAATCCCTGGTTGTGTGGGTGAGGGCTTGGCCGCACCCAGTCAGGCTGCCTCTATTGTTCTAGCTTTTTTTTAAAAAATACACGGCAAGTTGTTTATCTTCACGTAGAATACTTGGAACCTGTCCCTCAATCTCTCTGTAAAAGAAACCAGGACAAAACATGCCTCTCCCATTAAGAAAAGAAGCATCGATTTACAAAGATCGTTTCATTTTTAAAAATGTTAGTACACTACAATACACATACATCACATTGACTCTAAACATGCAAACATCCACTACTACATCCATCCGTTTATTTCTGCTACTGAACGTCTCAATCTGTCTTCATTAAAGACAAAACAGAGCGTCGGCAATTGCATTCTCTCATCCTGCCGCGTGTATAATTTAAAAATTGAATGGTTGCAATAATAAACTCCATCTGAACAGTCTGGAATTTTTATCCTTAAATTTTCCTCAAATCTTTAAGGGGTTTTGATCAGTGTATACAATTATCTCAGACACATTACTGGCAATATAAATACTAAAATATTCTAAAACCAACACCAATTTCAAGGTCTCCTTCTCAATTGTGGTATATTTCGTTGGACGATTATTCAATTTTCTGGAAAAATACCCAATGGGCTTTTCTATCTTGTCATCTTGTAACAGAACAGCACCAACACCCACATCACTTGCATTGATAACACCTTGCATGGCTTTGCCTAATTAGGTGTAGCTAACAGTGGGGCAGTGGTTAACAACAGCTTTCAGGCTTTTGACAGTCCACCATTCACTGACATTTTCTGCACTTCAATAAGTCAGAGAGTGGAGCAACCTCACAGCTAAAACCCGGTACAAGACTCCACTAAAAACCACTCATTGCCCAGAATTGTAGTACTGCTCGCTTTGTCGACAGTATGGGAAACTCTGCAACGACCTTTGTTTTCACTTCTCGCGGGGCCATCAGTCCATGTCCAATAACATGGCCCAGGAACATGACTGGGGCTTTTGCAAATTCACTCTTAGCGAAGCTTATTACCAAGCCCGCCTCCCGAAGTTAATCGAGTAATTCCAATAGATGTTTCTTCCATGTCTGACTGAAAATCACCAGGTCATCGATGTACACCACACAATTGGGTACTCCAGAAACTACTTTAATGGGTTAGTCTTCGAAATGTGCCTGGCATGATTTTCATACAAAAAGGCATGGCTATAAATTGGTACAGTCCATTCGGTGTCACAGAAACCAGAATTGTTTTTGCTCATTTGGATAAAGGTACCTGCCAGTATCATATGAGTAACCCCAACTTAGAAATATAAGTTGCTTGTCCCACCTTCTTAATACAGTCTTCCAAACATGGACTAGGATAAAAATCAGATTTTGTAACTGCATTGACTTTGCGAATAGTCCACACGTAATCATTGCGTACCATCTAGTTTTTGCTCCAATACTACAGGTGAGCTCCAGTTGCTGCAATTCATTTCGATTATGTCGTCTTTGGGCATGCATTCAATATCTTTTTGAGCTTATGCCAACTTTAGAGGGTTAAGTCTATAAGGATGTTGCTTAATTGGAACAGCATTTCCTATATCTACATCAGGCGTAATTAGATTAGTACTTCCCAGCTTATTCCCACATATCTCCCCATGTGATAGTAATGATTCTCAGGTCATTTTGATTTTACTCTGGAACGTAATTCAATAACATTCCAATTTTTGAGAACTTCCTCATTGTCCGATTTAATTTGAGCAATGTCCAATTCAGAATCCTCTGAGCTTGGTCCTTCACTCTGCGTTATAACCAGTCACACATTCTTTTTTTGCTTTCCTTCCCTATCAAAATACCTTTTGAGCATATTCACGTGACACACTCTGAGATTTCTTTCTATCTGATGTACTTATCAAATCGTTCACCTCACTCAATCTCCTTTCGATTTGATAAGGCTCACTAAACTTTGCTTTCAAAGGTTCACCCACCACTGGAAGTAACACTAACATTTTATCTCCATTAGTAAAATTGCAATTTTTTTGATTTCTTGTCTGCTTCCTGTTTCATTAGCTGTGCTAATCAGCTGTTAATTTTAAGTGCTGTCTAGCCAACTCACCCACTCTATTTAATCCTTTCCTAAAATTTGACACATCGTCCAAATGTGTGGTCTCTGAATTATGACTCACAATTTCTCCTGAATTAATTTCAGTGGTCCTCTCACCTTATGTCCAAAAGCCGATTCAAATGGACTGAATTTGGTAGATTCCTTTGGTGCATCCCTAATTGCAAAAAGTACAAATGGAATTCCTTCATCTCAGTCCTCTGGATAGTCTTGACTATAAGCCTCAACACGGTCTTTAAAGTTTGATACCACCGTTCTAATGCTCCTGCAATTCTGGATGGTACACAGTTGATTTGAATTATTTTATTCTTAAACTATCCATAACTTTCTTGAATAACTTTAGTGTAAAATTTGACCCTTGATCTGATTATATCTCTGTGGGTAGTCTATATCTAGTACAAAATTTGAGTAACTCTCTATAATCCCTTTAACTGTGATATTGTGTAATGAATGGCCTCTGGAAATCTAATGGACACTTCTATTATGATCAACAAATACTGATTCCCACTTTTTGTTTTAGGTAGAGGTCCTACGCATTCAATTAAGACCCTTGTAAAAGGTTACTCAAATGCAGGAATGGGTATTAAATGTGCTGGTTTTATTGTTGTCTGAGGTCTTCTAGTTATCTGACACGTATGACACGTCTGGTAAAACTCAGCACCATTCTTAAGCAGTCAAAAATGTTTTTGTATTTTGGCTTGAGTTTTTCTTACTCCTAAACGATCTCCTGCTGGTAATACATGTGCTACCTCCTTTCTATAACCCACCAGTAATACAACTTGATGAAGTTCTGTCCATTTCTCATTTGCCTGAATATGTGATGGTCTCCACTTCCTCATCAAGACATAATTTTTAAGATCGTAATATTCTGGGATACACTCGGATTCTTCTCCTGTGTATGCTTTTTGATACAACTACTTTGGTTCTGAGGAAGGGTCACCAGACCTGAAACATTAACTTTGATTTCTCTTCACAAATGCGGCCAGACCTGCTGAGCTTTTCCAGCAACTTCTGTTTTTGGTTTTTGATCCATGTATTGTAATTTTTCTGAACTAAAATTATCCACTTTGTCCTCCGCATGTTCTTTTTTCCTTAAACTTTTGATCGAACATAGTCTCTGACAAATGAACTTCAATTTCCTTTATTCTTTGATTCCTCACCTGCTTCGATCTGTGGGTTTGTGACCTTGTTACCACAGTCAGGAAAAATCCCAGGATATACTTCCTGTAACAACTCAAGTTGCCCAATTTTTGCACTGGCTTTTCGACTGCCATAGGCAGCACTCCCGTCTGGCAGTGTTTGATGGGGACAGTGTAGAAAACTTTACTCTATGCCTAACCCTGTGTTGTCCCTGTCCTGGGTGTGGGACAGTGCAGAGGGAGCTTTACTCTGTACCTAACCCTATGCCTTCCCTATCCTGGGAGTGTTTGATGGGGGACAGTGTAGAGGGAGCTTTACTCTGTATCTAACCCCGTGCTGTCCCTGTCCTGGGAGTGTTTGATGGGGG